CTGCTGCTGGGCTACCGGATAGCAGCAGTGGAAGAAGAGCACGAGAGCATCCGGGACCTATCGAGCCCGGAGGAGGAGGAGGAGGAGGAGGAGGAGGAGGAGGAGAGGAGGAGGAGGAGGAGGAGGAGGAGGAGATAGTGGGATGGAGGAGCAGGGATCGTCTTCAGGCGCTAATTCGTCTGGAACACAACTACTGCTTCTCAGTGTAGATCCCACACCCCAGCCCTCCCCCTCCCTGTCCACTACCTCCACCTCCATGTCCCTGGAGCCCTCGCAGACACCCAGCCCCCCTCGAGAGGAGGCAGTTGGGGGGCCAGAGTCTGTAGAGGAAATAGAAGCTACATCCGCCGGAGTTCAGAGCCCCCCCAACGGGATCGCAGACAAGGCTGCTGACTCGCCAGAGCCCGACACTGTAGCCGAGTCTGTGGTCCCCCAGCCCACCAGGAAAAGCCAGGTGCCAGAGTCGGTGGCAGCCCCCTCAGAGAGGCCAGGCCAAGTCTGTGAAAAACCCTCACTGGCCCCGACTTCAATCCCTGATTCCCTCCCCAGGTTCGGGGCTCAGGGTGTGGATGTTATTCAGACGCTGGCCAGCTCCAAGGAACAAGGGAAAGAGGCCGGGCAGGGGGGTGTCATCCAGCATGGCTCCCATCACGTGGACCCCCAGGAGCCCCTCCCTCACTCAGCTGCAGAGACAACAGGTGTGGACTCTGTGTCCGGAGCAGAGAAGGAAGACGAGGCGGGTACTCACAGCGACTCCACGGAAACCGCCTCAGACTGTGAGAACGAGAGTCAGGACGATGAGCAGCAGCAGCCAGACCAGGACTGGGGCCCCCTCCTGAGCACCCAGAGAAACAGCCAGCTGGTCATATGCAGCTCTCAGAACCAGCAGCCAGTCATCCAGGCCCACGTGTCCAGCCGCCAAGGTCAGACCGTCATTCAGCCCTGCTTCCCCAACAGTTTGCCCCGCCCCCATTCTGTGGACCAGCAGTCTCACACTCAGGGGCTCAAGGACCCTAGTGTCGTGGTCAAACTGGAACCAGTGGACGACGGACGAGCCCCCAGACAGAGTTCTGCTGAGGAGGATTGTCGTGGAGGTGTGAAGTCCTCGGTGTCCTCCAGGAGACCGTCCAGCTCCTCCAGACCCGTGTCCAGCGTGGAGGCCAACAATCCTCTGGTCACCCAGCTGCTGCAGGGCAGCCTGCCCCTGGAGAAGGTCCTCCCCCCACACTCTGCCAACAGGCTGGAGATCAGCCGACTGCCAGGACCCCAATCCAGACCGCTGCCACCAAGGACCCCAGGGCCTCGCCACAGGCCTGAGGCCTCTGCCCAGTCTTCTAGTCCAGAACTGAATGTGGTCTCTCAGCTCCACATCAAGTCTCCGACAGGCCGCTCGGTGTCATGTGTGATGGAGGGCCCCGCTGTGTCACAGTATCAGTCCCAGCAGGCCCCCGGGGCTGTGCCGGTCATCACCCCCCTGCCCCCCTCCTCCTCCTCCAGGAGTAAGTCAGAGCCCAACTACCAGAGTGCTGTGGAGTCGGCCGTCATCAAAGAGTCTCGTGGCCCCCAGCCCTCCCCCGGGGCGACTCCGGACCGGCCCCAGCCAGCCCACCGGACCATGCCTAACGGGCCGTCTCCTCCCCACGCAGACACCTGTCCCACGGAGATGCTGCCTACTATTAAGATTAACTGGCGCCCCCCCCAGTCTCAGCTCCCCCACCCTCACCAACAGCAGCTCTCTCCTGCACCCACTATAAAAAATGAAGCGGTGATGCGCCCCTCCTGCCAGGCTCTGGCCAAATCCTCTCCCACTGTACCCATGAGTGTCACCAAAAAGGAGCCATTGAGCTCTATGGACAGCTACCTGAGCGGGGGGGCAATGGAGGGGCTCCTTAACATGGAGATGACTTTAGCCAGGATGGCAAAAAAGGAGCACATTAAAGCTCCCTACTCCTCTGGCTCCCCCTCCACCTCCTCCTCTCCTTCCCCCTCCTCCTCTGCCTCCTCTCTCCCTTTCCAGCTGTATGGGAAGCTGCCCAAGCCGGGCGGAGGTGTGGGCGCCGTGAGCTACACAGCCAACGTGTCAGTCATGGACAATGGCGGCTTCTCGCGGAGCATGGCGGACGGCGTGCTGCAGCTGCACCCCCGCCTGGCCTCCGGTCAGACCCTGAGCATCCAGGCCTTCACTGACAGCACAACGGAGGAGGTGGCGCTCAAGTGCTCATGTCGCCTCAAAGCCATGATCATGTGCCAGGGCTGCGGCGCCTTCTGCCACGACGACTGCATCGGGCCCTCCAAACTCTGCGTGTCGTGTCTGGTGGTCAGATAGCATGGTGACTGTGTGTGTACAGGATCAGGACTGGGGCGCTCTGAAGGAGGGGGGGCCTGACAGGCAGGACTTGTATAATATAACTGGTCTGTATTTTTTGTTGTTACAGATTTTCAGATTTTTTAGTTGTACTGATATATTGTTATTATTGTTATTATTATTATTATTATTATTATTATTATTATTATTATTATTATTATTATTACTATTGTGAATTTGGGGCATGATTGATTGTAAATTGTGCCTTTTTTTTTTTCTCTCCTCAAAAACATTTACCTCATCTTATCTCGTTCCACCTCTCATCACTCGGTGGCCATGTTTGTTTTGGTCCCTGTCTCCTCAGCAGACTGGGACTTGTTGTCTCTTTGCGCAGAAGAAGTATTTTTTTAACCATTAAAATGAGTAAAAGTTTGTTTGTGTTTGACTCGTTCACTTCAGCTCCAGTCTGAAAATAAAATGATCAGTGAGTGGTCCAAGGCTTTTTGAATCCTTCGTACCTGTGTCAACAAAACCTTGACCCCCCCACACACCTGACTGTAGAGATCCTCCATCACAGTCCACTGTCAACCCTAATTCAGGACCATGTAACACCAGGACCAGGATCACAAGGACTGATACTGAGGCAGCTGATGAACTTCTGAATGTTTCCACATCCACCAATGATTTAATGAACATGTAGCATCTCTTTAATGCTTCATGTTTATTGTGTGTGATCATGTTGATGCTAATGATTCTGGCACAGGAAACAACTGACTGTCAGCAGTGTTGATACGGCTGCTGTTGATCACTAAATGAAGAATGGGACACACTGTCAGAAGACTGAACAGCACAGAAACATCTGGTCCACACCTGGGTCCAGTTTCCAGTTTCACAGACTTGTCTACATACACATACACACACACACATATATATATATATATGTATGTATGTGTGTGTGTATAGTGTTGGTCTAGTCTTCATGTTGCTCATAGATCAGTCTAATGTTAGTCAGAAAAATAAAGGCTGACTCATTTTGAGTGAAAAACATTAGGCACCTTACCCCCAGACTAATTTAGGCCTAAGACCAATGTTACCATGGTAACAATGACACCTGCGCTGACCAGAGCACCCAATGACAAAAAAACAGGAAAACATGGCTGATAATTTGTGTTTTGCTAACATTGTTATGGAGAGAGCAAAGAGAAGAGAAAGAGTTTTTAAACCAACTCAGATTTTTCTTTCTATTGTTTCACTCTTCAATGAATTTGTAAAATGTCCTCCAAAAAACAAAGTGAGCTGAGTGGTTGGATGTGGTTCCTCAGTCTGGCATTTTTTAAATTTACCCAGAATTTATTTTACCACAGTCTGTGACTTAATATAGTCAAGAACTGAACTGCTTTGTGTAGCAGATGAATTCAGACTCAGTCGATCTGAAGTCTGACTGTTTGTTATACATAAGCCTCAGTCAAAGTCTGTCTGTGTGAAACTGGCCCCTGGTCTGGAGTCTAAAGGGTGGCAGTGCCTCATACATGTGACAAAGATGTTATAGTGTTTGAGGGTATATGAGATATATATGAGTGTATTGGTCACATGACCATCAGTGGCTAAAGGATGTGATGAAGAAGATGTAGAGACGTTGAGGCTCTAAACGACGACGTGTTTTCACTGATCTGTTCCCCTGCTGATCCCCTGTGTCTTTATTCCAAGGAGACGCTCAAGACAAACTTCAACACAACATAAACCAACAGGAGAAATCATGAGACTCTTTCTACAACAATAAACAATGTGTTTGACTGTGAGGAGCAGTTTGTTGTTTAGAAAAACAGAGGCCACTCGTCCACATGCACTGTGGGTTAACCTTTATTTCAAGAGCAACTTAAAGACTAATCCTGACACAGCCATCATTAACACAGACGATACAAAATAAATATTCACCATCACTTTGTTCTTCATCACCAAATAAATAACAAATATGTGCAGCTCAATATTCACAGTGTATTGCAATGTACTGAAAATAGTTTGTGGAAATAAAAAGGAAAATCATATAAACATAAGCACCAAAAAATATTTTAGAAAATTATTAAAAACTTTCAGTTACAAAATATTTGCACTTAAAAAGATCCTGTATTTTAAATAAATAATAAGATTTATAAAACAATTCATAGTTGATATCTTAAAATATTTCCTCTTTGTTCAACAGTGCAGAGGAAACGATCACCTTCTCTTGGTTACTGGTTAAAATCTTCTCAGGTAGCATTTTCAAATAAATAAAAAAAACTGAATAAATAGATAATGTTTCATAAATAAGCCAACACAAAAATAATACAGCAGACATGAGTAAATAAGTTGTTATTAAACCAACATTTGCAAAGGACTTAAATAGTTACACAGCAATTGTAAGAATGAATCTACAAACTAGTCCTGGAGGTGCAACATCACTATGCTCTTATAGATACTATCAACATTATTGTGTAATGGGATATGTTCACTAACTAATCTGTTCACTGCTCTGTGTGCACAGTCACAGTTTGATCCACACCCTCGTCTCTTCACACTCACACCATCATAAAGCAACATGCAAACAGGAAACAAACGCAAACAACAGATGACAAAGTTCCAAATCAGAAGAATTAATTACATACAGTATCTAAAGGTATGGAAAGAAAGAGTGTTGCTGTGGGGACCGTGGCCCTACTCTGTCACACCTCGATGCCTTTCACAGCCTGATTGATGGACTCGAGCAGGGCCCGGTTCTCAGGGTTCTGGTAGCAGTCTTTATTAGTAAACATGTGGGTCAGGGTGTCCACGTAGCTGTCGAAGTTCTGCTCGGACAGCGGCTCCTGCTGAACACACACAAGGTCAAAGGTCAAGTCTTGTACGTCTGAGTCAGAGTCGTAAACCTGGACTTGTGACTCTTCACACATAATAACAATGATTCTGAGCTGCACATCATTCAGTCTGCGTTAGAGCTCCCTGTCAGCAGGGAAACAACAGACTGGTCACCAGTCTTGTCCCACCTGTGAGGCCAGGTCCAGCAGATCCCAACACCCCACAGACACTGTATGCACTGGTGTAGTGTATTTGTGTAAGTACAGGTATTATGTTAATTAAGGTTTACAGTTAGACTGAGAAGCAGCTTCATCTGAACATTTCTGACAGAGAACAATGTTTTTAGACACATCATTTAATTTACATTGACTCATTTGACACGCTTTTAGCTGTTAGAATTAAATGTATTAAATTCAAACTGTCCAGACAAAATGATCCAAATATAACTGAAACCATTTGATTAATAAAGTGACAGCAGGTGTTCCTCATGACATCACGTCCTTCCTCAGACCAACTGAGTGCTAGATGTTTGATGTTTAAATACGAACCTGCAGCTACACCTATTTTGGCGTTGTTGGCAGTATCAGGAGTATTTTATGCTGGTTGGTGAGTACGTTCCCTTCATCATGACGAACAGTAATGAAAGTGCTGATGCTGTTCCTAATACTCCCATTGTCACATCAGTTTGTACCCTTTTTTCTGTGGCTCCAGGTACACATAAGCTTTCAGGTAAGACATCTGCCATTATTATATCTGAATGGAAAGCTGCCTTACAAATGATGGTGATTGTTCAATATATTTCTCAGACCCACCAGGTAGATCTAGAGTTAAGTGCCTAGAGGGGGAGGCAAAGAGAGAAATACCCATATTGTAACAGTCAAATAGATTTTTGACAAACTTAAGGAGTTGTATGGGGATAGGGTGCCTACCTCGGTTCTGCGCTCTCTATATTTCAGCTGCACCCAGAAAGCTAGGGAGACTACCCTGTTCTTTGGGTGGCCTTCGGGAAACTACACTCAGACATGAGTTACACACAAAGCTGTTAGTACAAGAATACCTAACCTTTGCCCAGGTGATACAGGAAGTGCTGGCCTTTGTAGAGGGTTATAGGAAGGAAGAAATTCCTGCTCAGACTTACGCTGTCTGAAAAACTAACCCCCTGTTCAGCCTGATGTGGCTCCATGGCCTTACTATCGTGTTCAGTCTTATGTCCCCCAACAGGAAAAATGCATGGTCATGGATTTGCAGCAGATGAAGGAATTGAAGCATGAGTTTCCAGAGCAGTTTACTTCTCGATCTCGAGAGCTGATCCAGGAGGTGAAAGAACAACAGAAGTCAGCCCCAGAGAGCTAGACACCCAACATCAATCCTCATGAGCCCTGTGTTGCATTTCAGCATAGGAGGAAAGAATATGGTGAGCAGAGTCAACAAAGACACCAGGGAAAGTTTTGGCCTTCTGATAGTCCCTCTTACTACCTCCAGCAGAGGTTCGCAGCGATCACCAAGTAGCCAAGGAAGGGTGAGTACAGTGGTTCAAGGCAAAATGGAAGATGGCAGAAATAGTCCAACCTGGTATGTAATTACTATAAAAAGAGGGGATAACCATCCACAGCAACCTGAATTAGAGGGTCCAGCTGTAGAGAGCTGCCCAGCAGGAAAAAGTGACACCCACATTAACCAGGCTCACTTACCTGGAGAAAGTCCTACTATTGATGTAAAAATAGAAGGTATCACTCAAGTGATTTCTCTGCCTCCACCACAGGTTGACAAGCGTGGTGCTGAGCCCTATGACAGTGTTAAAGGGAAAAACTGTTTGCCGCTGCAGATGGAAGAGTGGGTTTTGTCCGCCTTATGATCAAGAACTGAATCTGAATCCCTACACAGAATGAGCAGATCATTTATGGCCACACAAGGGCTGGACTGCATGGTCAGGATTATCAGGCAGTGTTGGAGCTGCTTGGATTCCACAAAGAGCACAGTGGCAATGGTACAGGGAGGTAGAATTCCAGCTCAGAAACTGTGGCCAGACACTTGTCTACTTGCATCGCTATCAGAAGCTGGGAGAGGTCTACCAAGTTGATGACCCCAGCTGCTGTGAGTATGTGAGCTGTGATCATCAACTTGGTAGACCTCACAGTCTTACAGAACAGAATGTGTAAGTGAGTGCCCACTCTGCCTGTGTTGCCCAAACAAAAGCAGCTGATACACCCTACCCAGTCAGCCTCTCCACAGAAAGCCTGAGAGAAAACCAGCATCACCAGCTCTGAGACCTGTTCCTCTGGTGTCTTTGCAAATCACTCTGAGGATTATGGGCGGACAAAGGCAGTGAAACATACCATACCCACAGAGAAGGTCCCACTCATCCGTAAAAGGTATAAATCTCTCCTGAAGTCCTCCACAAAATGAGGTCAATACTATGGGAATTCTAGATTCTGGGATTGTACAAAAGGGAGCCGTCCTTGAGCCTCACTCATTGTGCTTGTCCTTAAAAAGGATGGTTCCCTACTTGTCTGTGTAGATCACAGGAAGCTGAATGCAGTGAGCAGGATGTACACTTACCCTCGTCCCTGGGTAGAGGAATCACTGACCTCCATGTTCAATGCCATGTGGCTCTCCACAATGGATCTGGCCTCAAGGTACTGATAAGTACAGCTGCACTCGAAAGATGGGGGAAAAAAAACTTTCACCACACCAATGGGGCTTTACAAGTTTGACTGCATGCCGTGTGTGGGTTAACCTATTCCCCAACAACTTTCCAGAGACTTATGGAAAGTTGTCGGGGAGACTAAATTTGAGTAAATTCTGAAGCATTGCTCATGTCCCTGGATGATGTGATAGTGTACTCAAAAGGGTTGACTCTGGTGACCCTGGACCCCGAGAAGAGCAAGGCTGTACGTGAGTGGAAAACACCAAAAACTGTCACTGAACTGCACTCTTTCCTAGGCTTCATCTGCTACTACCAGAGGTTCATAAAGAATTTCTCACATAAAGCTTTTAAATCAGCTGCTGAATGGTACTGGCCCCAAAAGGGCATGTCTCTGGGAATGGACAGAAGAATGTGAACAAGCCTTCCACACCCTAAAAGAACAACTCACCAGCACCCAAATCCTGGCTTTTGCAGACTTTGCTCTCCCTTTTCACCTATACACAGATGCCAGAAACCAAGGCCTAGTAGCTGTACTCTGCCAGCATCTAGATGGTAAGGAGAGAGTAATTGCTTATACAAGCCAAAGCCTTCCTTTGAGTGAAAGGAATGAATCCAATTATAGATATTTTAAGTTGTCTGGCAAACTTCAATTACACCATCCAGCACAGGCCAGGTCGTCACAATGCAAGTGTTGATGCCTTGTCCAGGAAGCCCAACTCGCCAAACGAACTGGAGATTCCCAACTTTCAGCCACCTGCTGCTTCATTTCAACCATCTTCTGCAGCAGAATCACCTCTTTCAATCTATGTACATGTGAATTGCAACCAATCCAACTGAGGAACTTCTACCTGGATGGACTCAACAGGAGGATGAAACTGTCCAAAGAGTGGTCCAACTCCTGCAGCAAGGCTTGCCCCTGAACCAGCTGCATTAAAGACAGAGGCTAAGGCAGTGGTAGAACTTCTGCAACATTGGGGCTGCTTCACCATGAAAGATGAGGTCCTGTGACAACAAGTCCAGTTACCCCAGGAAGAACACCTGTTCTGCCAGTTAATGGTGGCCATGTGGAGAGTTACCATGAACAAGCATGGCATTTTGGCACAGAAAAGACATTGTCAGTCCTGTGCAGACCAAGATGACCCATGATGTAGAGACCTAAAACAAAGCCTGTGCCCATTGTGTCCTCAACAAGGGAGCCCCACAAGACAGAGCCCCTTTGATATCAATGCACACATTGAGCTTGTTGCTATGGACTGTCTGAAGATAAACTGTGTCATAGGGGGTTTTGACAACATATTGGTCATCACAAATCATTTTACAAAGTTTGCCTGGGCCATCCCAACACCTGACCAAACAGCCATTACCACAGCTTAAGTACTCTGGCAACACTTGTTCCAACTATTTGTGCCCCCCCCCCAAGTGTCTTCACTGTTCCAGGTAATTAAAGAACTGTGCAGTCGTTATGGAAACATATCATCCATCTGGAAACGGTGTCTGTGAGAGGTTCAACTGAATCTTAATTGACTTTCTCAGCACTCTGGAAGAGGACAAGGAGAGCTGGCCCGACAAAGTATGGGAATTGTTTTTCATGTATAATAACACTTTTGTTAGTTCAACTGCTTGGCAGACATAGTTGCCTCCCTCAAGACATAATGCTGGTCTTGCCACCCACAGAGGAACCACTGACTTCCAGCGACAGGGTCCAGGACCATCAGCAGCGCCTACAAAAAGGTGCCCACACGCAACCTTCCACCAGAAGAAAAATGATGACCGCCCCACTAAAGGGGCCAATCGCTGCCAGGGGACAGAGTGTTGGTCAAGTATCAGAGAGCTAGGACCCGAGGTAAGCCTCAGGATAAGTGGGAGCAACCCCTTATGTGGTTGTCAGTCAGCCGAGGCCTGAGAACCTTGTGTATGTAGTTATGTATGTAGTTGCCGGGACACGGCAATGGTAGCAAGAGTGTTCTACATTTTAACATGCTACGCCTGTGCTCTTTATCCTGTAGACCACTTAAAAAGGAGTCCTATAATGTAGATGTGGGGCAGAGGGCTGGGTTATCTCCCTACAGTTAGAGCTCCTGTAGCACCCATAAGAGCGAAGGAGGGGAATCCACCAGAAGAGGGCAGACCAGCTGGCAGCTGAGGGGGGGCCATACAGCTTCCACACAGAAGCACCAAGGGAGTACTTCCAAAGCAGGTCTGAACATTTCATCACTGACTGAACATTTAACAGGGAAATAGACTCATCACTAAATATTTAAAATACCTCAATGGTCACGTTTGATTTATTTTATTATTATTATTATCTTTTGCAGGTGAAGAAAAAAGGTTGTGCAGGTGTTAGATCCAGACCTGAAAAAAGACCTTCACCACTGTGCATGTGCAAGGGATAAACCCAATGGCGACAGCTCTTAGAGGGTGCAGCCTATATGAAATAGGATGATTATATATACATACATACATACATACACACACATACTAATAGAAACTAAAAGAAACTATATATAGAATTAGTTTCTTCTTTTAAAAGAATTCAAAATGCATTGTGTATACTCACCATGGTGGGCAGGCGGATGTTGGCCAGGCTTTGGATCAGGGCCTGACTCAGACCAGATAACTCCAGGAACAAAGCCTCATTCCTTTCCTCAATCTGTTTATTCTCCTCCTCCATGCTCTTCAGGTTCTTCTCCATTGAAGAGATCTGAAGCAGAGACAGACACACAACAAGCAGCAACACACAGAGCTTTACTAATGCATCAGTGAAGTTGGTTTCTGCAGCATCCTGCAGTCTCTATTGTCTTTATTGTCTCTGATCAATGCCAAATCAACAGGCATTGCCTCCTGAATGTATTTCCTCACCTGAGTGTGCAGGTTCATCATGTCAGTCTCCATCTCTGAGTTGGACTCATTCAGTTCATTGATCTCCTTGTTGAGCTGTTTGATGTCCTCATCGTTGTCCAGAACTGTGTGAACACAGTTAGCAAACACAAAATCAAGACCCCTGCTAACCCTGCCACTTGTGGATGTCTGTGGTGCTGCAGTGTGTTCAGCTGTAGAGAACATTACACCTCTGAGTCTGTGCTCTTTCTATGTTGTTGTCTCTATGTGTTAGTGATAACAGCAGCAGACACAGTTTGAGATATACTGTTAGACAGAGGGACTAACTCTTACCGTCACTGGCTCTGAACTTTGCAGTAATGTACTCGTCTCCGGGGAACTTGGCTCTCTTCTTGTTGGCTGACGCTCTGGGACAACCTGACAGACTGAGATGAGCAGCTGATCAGTTCTATGAGTCAATACTTAGATTTCGAAATTGGCAGTAAGTTTCTCAACATTAATATAATAATAGTAATAACCACCTTAAGACCTTTATCATTTCTGATTTTCTGATGAAGTAGTGCCTGTTTCCAAACTGATCTAGATTCAAGTGGAACTTAGTTGCTGAGTGACCCAGTGACTCTTTGCTGGACCCCTCTGTGTTGAAATGAATTACAGGGCTGAATGCGACCTTACTGAATTTACTGTAAATCATCTCACATATAATGAACTTCAAGCTTCAGAACCTTGGGACCCCTCAAAGTTTGGATCCCCAGATCAGTTGGTGATCTAGCCTTGGTCCATGTGACTCAACTTCATGGTGAATTACCAAAGGAAATGAGCAGTATTTGTCTAAATCAGGGGTTTTCAAAGTGTGGGAAAGTGAATCATGTAAAAGAGCTTAAACGGTAATAAAGTGCACCCTGAGCTGCACTGCTGACAACTGAATGTGAAGACAGCTGAAAAACTCAACTCCTGATTGAGAACCTTGGACTAACCACTATGAACCAATCAGAAATTAGTGTTTTCTGTAATACAAAGGGTCGATTGGGCATCTTCCAGAGGAAGCTATAAAACAAGTCCAGGCTCTGTGTAGCCAATGATCAGAGGTCATTCACCTCCACCTTTGTATCAGATGATGAACTGTCACTGTCAGGGTCTAAGGTCAGACCTGGGGAGGGTGACTTGTATGAATGTACTCTGAGATGAAGGTGTAGGCTGAGCTGCTCTCTGAACGATACCTGCGGTGAGTCAGGAAACTGCCGTTAGCATGGCCGGAGCCGTCACAGCCTGGCGTTGGGCAGGTCGGGCCTTCGGTCTTGAAGGCCTTCCAGGAGAAGGGGGTGCCATTAAGAAGACCTTCCTTCTGCCGACGTGCTGCCAGTGGACAGCCGTAGGCGCTACGATGAGTGGCGTACTTCCCACTGATGTGGCCCAGACTGTCGCAGCCGGGAACTGGACACCTGGAGGCAGAAAACACTGAATAGACTCACTGAGAGAGAGGAGGTGCAGCAACAGAGGGACTCAAGGATCCAGATTTGGTCCTTCAGGTTCAGAATTTATTTGGCAGCCACTTCTAAACGTCCCAGAAAATACAAATGTCACAACATCAAATGTGTGAATGAAATGTGTAATTACATAAACATGAGGCTGCATTCAATATTTTAAATGGACTGTAAAAAGGCCTCAGTTAACCTTCAATTAGAGCCTTCAGTCTGTGTCCGTGTATGAGAATAATGTGTAGCTGCATGGATAGTACAATAGTTTGTGTAATATACTGATGCAAACTAAAGGAAACTTTAGTGTATCACAATTTGTGTGATTATATGAAACAATGTTTTAGGTTTGGTTAGAGCTGCATGTGGTAGGGTTGAGATGTTAGGTCTGTCCTGTTGCACTGGAGGATAAATTAGTATTAAACTAAAAACCATGTCTCACTTTCAGAACATGTTCATTTCATGAATTATAATTCAGTATATTTGAGTCTCTGCCTCTCAGCTCCTTTTGCTCACCTCAGCAGCTCGGAGTCTTCCTTGTCATCTTTGGTGGGGACTGATTTGACCCCGCTCTTCTTGGCTCTGGGGCACCCGGACAGACTGGCAGAGAGGAACAGAGGGAGAGTCACAGCATCTGTCAGCAGAGTGACTGATGGTGCAGTAGGCAGATGAAGAGGAGAGCTCCTACCTTCTATGTGAAGCATAGTTTCCAGTGATGTGGCCTGATCCATCACAGCCTGGAGTCGGACACCTGAGACACAGACACTCTGTCACTCTGCAGGCCTGACCTGTATATACTGACAGTGTAGACACTCTGCTGCTGCCATGCTGCAGCAGGGCTCTGTTCAAACAGCTGGATACCAGAACCCAGCAATAGGGAGTAATACAATATTTTACTGTTTCCAATCTGTTGAATAAATCATAATCAACCAGAAAAGTCACTGTCTTAATACAAGCTGAAAATCATTAGACATATACATATATGTCTAATATTACATAATATTAATGTTACATGATACGAAAACTTTCACAATAAAGGCAACTGTGAAGCCTGCCAACAATAATATTAAATAATAATAATAATAATCATTTAAAGCTCCATATTTTGCTCTTGTCTTGTGTTTTATTTGAACTGTTGATCCATAAGAAGATATATAGTAGTTCATCTCAGTGTAGTTTTACACGTCCTCTCTCTGGAGCTCTAGTAACAGCAGTTCGGTGAGCCAATCAGAAGAGAGGAGGCTCTGAGCCTCTCTTCTGATTGGCTGACTGTTTTCTGATTGAGCCAATAAAAATATAGCAGATTTCAGGTAAAACACTCAGAGAAACCAAATCCTGCAAGGTTTGGATGGTGGGTCCAGGTGGGTGTGGCTTGGTGACTGCTTTGTTGTGACATCACAAAGTTCCAGAAGTCCTGACGGCTGGTTTTAAGGCTCAGTTTCTGAATACAGGCTGTGTGCATTTCTCTGTGGACTGAGGCTTTGATACTTTCACAGTATTAATATAGAACCTAGACCTGATCTATAATCAAACACATGGACATCTTCCTTTATACTATATGGAGCTTTAACTTCAGTGCTCGTTGTAATTAGGTCTTTTTTTATGAATGAACTCTTTATTTATGAACAAACTGGTGTAATGGCAACTGTTTTATGAAGCTGTAAGAAATAAGAAACCCAGACACTTATTATGGAGGGTTACTTCAGTTAAATATGATATTATAGAAATATTACTGTTCCATAAAAGATCAAGTATGTTGGTGCAGGCACGCAGTTTCAACCCTGTATCATTAATACACGTGTTTGTAGACCTCAGTGAGTTGTGTCTGTGTTGAGAGCAGAGCAGGGACAGAGCTGGACATGAGGAGACAGCAACAGAGGAAGACATACTTCAGTTCAGCTGTGTGGGCAGCCATGAGGGTCCGAAGTGACTTATCAGCAAGAGGACAGCCAGACAGACTGGAAGATACAGAGAGAGAGAGACCGTCAGGAAACCAGAGACCTGAACTGGACTACAGAGACAGAGACCTGAACTGACTACAGAGCCAGGACAGAACTGGACTACAGAGCCAGAGACATGAACTGACTACAGAGCCAGGACAGAGCTGGACTACAGAGCCAGAGACATGAACTGACTACAGAGCCAGGACAGAACTTGGCTATAGGGCCAGGACTTGAACTGACTTCAGAGCCAGAACGGAACTGAACTTCAGAGCCAGGACTGAACTGGGCTATAGAGCCAGGACAGAACTGGACTACAGAGCCAGGGAGAACTGGACTACAGAGCCAGGACCTGAACTGACTACAGAGCCAGAACAGAACTGGACTACAGAGCCAGAACTTGAACTGGACTACAGAGCCAGGACAGAACTGGACTACAGAGCCAGAACTTGAACTGGACTACAGAGCCAGGACTGAACTCGGCTACAGAGCCAGGACAGAACTGGACTACAGAGCCAGAACCTGAACTGGGCTACAGAGCCAGAACTTGAACTGGACTACAGAGCCAGGACTGAACTCAGCTACAGAGCCAGGACAGAACTGGACTACAGAACCAGGACTTGAACTGGACTACAGAGCCAGAACAGAACTGGACTACAGAACCAGGACCTGAACTGGGCTACAGAGCCAGGACCTGAACTGGACTACAGAGCCAGAACAGAACTGGACTACAGAACCAGAACTTGAACTGGGCTATAGAGCCAGAACCTGAACTGGACCATGGAGCCAAAACCTGAACTGGGTGACAGAGCCAGGACCTGAACTGGACCATGGAGCCAGAATCTGAACTGGACTACAGAGCCAGACTCTGAACTGGGCTACAGAGCCAGAACCTGAGCTGGACTACAGAGCCAGGACGTGAACTGGACTACAGAACAGAACTGGACTACAGAGCCAGACTCTGAACTGGGCTACAGAGCCAGAGCTGGAGCTGGACTTCAGAGCCAGAACAGAACTGGGCTACAGAGTCAGGACAGAACTGGGCTACAGAGCCAGAACCTGAGCTGGACCACAGAGCCAGAACCTGAACTGGACTACAGAGCAAGAACAGAACTTGACTACAGAGCCAGGACAGAACTTGACTATAGAGCCAGAACCTGAGCTGGACTACAGAGCCAGGACCTTAATTGGACTACAGAGCCAGGACAGAACTGCTAATCTTAACAGAAAAGTAATAGTGGAAAAATAATGACGAATGAAGGTGTGCGTGTGTGAGCTGCTCCTTCTGTTTTTTAATGGGGTTAAACATAAGAGGACAGTATTTCTGTGATTCATTAATGTGCTCATCTGATTCATCTCTAACATGAAACACAAACAGTAATTAATGTGCTACATTATATTAAAACCCTGAGTCCTCCCAACTCCTCTGCCTGTAGAGACTGCAGCTTCCACAGCTGCATATTCCCTTCCTCATGGATCATTGACCAGAGAAACCTTTACATTAAAGCCCTTAAATGACTGTGGAAACATTTACTGGGTGTTAGTCCAGGTGAAGAGGTTCATGTGTATTAGTATTCTACAGGTGAGGAGGTAAGACCACCCCTACCTCTTCACCTGGATCAGTATCCTACAGGTGAGGAGGACCACCTCTACGTGATGAAGTAGGATACAGAAAACAAGGAGGCAACACATTAGAGTTTAGGGGGCAACAACAATAACATAAAAATACATTAAAAATATTATGAATAACTATATCAATAATAAATACTAATTTAAGAACTTGCATAGGGGTAACAGGGTTAACAGGGAGTGACAGGGATAACAGGAGGGAACGGAATGACGGGGTAACAGAGGGTAACAAGGGGTGATAGGGAATGATAGGGGTAACGGGGTAACAGTGAGTGACGGGATAACAGGGTAACAAGGAGTGAAAAGATAACAAGAGTGACAGGGGTAACAGGGGGTGACAGGGGGTAACAGGGGGGACAGGGGTAACAGGGAGTGACAGGGGTAACAGGGGGTAACAGGTGGAAACAGGGGGTAACAGGGGTTGACAGCCACATTGGTACCCAATAGGTATTTTATTGTTGTTATTGTTATTATACACAAAATAATTACACAGTCATTTGCAGGCTGTTACAGAACAGCAACCAGTCATGATCCAGTAGTCACAATAACGACACCTACATACCTACTGTAGCTACACTGAGGGAACTGAGAGACAAGACAGGGACATGGTCTGACTTTTGTCAGATTTACTATCACTCTGCTTCTCGTTATGAAATGATTCAATGACAGAATGAAATCATACTTCAACCCTTTTAAGGTACAAACACCACAGATTGATAAAGCAGAAATACTCCTCATGTCCCAGTCAGAGAGCAGGTCTCACCTTCGATGGGATGCGTAGTTTCCAGTAATGTGTCCACTGCCATCACAGCCCGGGGTGGGACATCTAGGACAAAGACACATGATGCTTATATGAAATACTACAGCATCACAGTAAGCTGTTAATGTTGAATTTGTTCAGGTCCTATCAGATGGTAGAGATGAGGAAACAACAACTCAACTCTTGTGCCAAGTCAGTTACAAAGTCAGATACTTTTCTCAGTACTAACTGTTACCTGAATGTTGTTAAAACTGGTCTCCATAGAATCTCTCATATGACATGAACACAGCAGAAGGTTTACAGAGAGACAGTTTTATGATGTTCTGACTGTACAGAAGGTGTTTCATTGTGATCGGCGGATACACGCTACAGTGAAAGTGGAACCATGTTGTGTGAAAGGTTGTTACTTACACCAGAACCTCTTTTTTGCTGTCTTTGGGCTGAAACTTGACCTTGAAGCTGCTGGTGGTGACCTCACCGGGGTACTTCCTGTCCTCCAGGTTCTCCTGGTCCTCTTCCTCCCCATCAGATGAGGTGTATGAGGGAGCCGTATACTCCACCTGAACAAAGGTGAGAACACAGGTAATCATGATGGCATCATCATGGCTCACTCTCCTGGGGCCTCATTTATAACCATTGTGTATGCACAAAACATGGCCTGAGAGATGCATAAGCCATTTCCCACACAAAGATAGGGCTCTATAAAAACAAACTTGACGGTAAAATGTGCACACATGTATGCTAAGTCTGTCTCATGCATACAAACATTTTGGAGACAGGGGAAATTGGCGACACAGATGGTAAGGTGGTGAATTGAACAGTGAACAGCTGCAGTGAGTCAGATGCACAGAGTGCACCAGACACACCACTTAAATAAATAAATTGTGTTCACCTACGAAATTTCCTATTTCTAATGTTATCCCAGGGTGTGTGATGGGCTACCACTGATTGCTGCAATCAATTTGGCAAGATATGAATTAATCAGCCTGATGGCTGCAAACATATAAATACAGCGGTGACACTCATGCATAATGCTGCATGATGGATGCACTGGCGTGTTATTTCAGCTTTTGTGCAAACGTACACTTTTATTATGAATGCTACGCACTGTTTTATAATGAGGCCCCCGGTCTGGATGTGTACCATACCTCCTCATGGTCCTCTTCTTTGACTCCACTTGGTTTGGTGAAGTCCAGTGGCCCCTCCCACTCTGGCTGAGTTTGGCCCTGAGACAAGGTGGCTCCAACATGCTGAGAGGATGAAGACGAGGAGGATGAAGGCTCTGGAGACTGCATGCCCTCCCTCTTAGTTTTCTTCATGCTGAGGTCCAAAGTGCCGTTTTCATCCACTTCGATGTCCGACTCCTACAGAGTTCAGATAAAGAAGGTGAGTGTGTATGTGGTTGATTTAGCCAGATCTGGTCCCAGGAAGAACGAGTGTGTACCTTTGCGCAGGGCTCCCTGGGCTTGGTGCTGAGAGTCTCCGGTCTCTCCCAGCAGCGGGTGGACAGGTTGAGGATGGCTGTTGCTGCCATGTGGGCTGCCTCTGCATCTTGGCTATAGTCATAACCACTGGAGGATGAGGCGCTCTTGGAGAATCCTCCAGACACACTGTGGCTGGGGGAGGAGGCCTTAGGGAATGATTTAGCTGTGGGAGAGGAGGGAAGTTACTGGGACAGGAACCAGAGCAGAGCAGTCTGACATGACTAAATGTTGTTGATACAGCTGCTGCTAGTGGCTGCTGTCGGATCAGGTGTGTGGTTGGTTTTTATTGTACCAGAGAAATCATGTCAGTGTTCATTAAGAAGGTGACCACATGGTAATGAGCCTGGTTCCTGCTCTCCAGTTTAATCATGCACAAGAATTGAGTTTATACTCTGACATTACAAAAATTATGGATTGTTGAATTATGAATTATGTAAAATATATTCAAGGTTCAGTGTGAATTATATCTAATTCAGTTTTATTAATATAGCACAGTTCTCTCAGGGATCTTTTCAAACAGAGTGGGTCTAGACTCTGTGTAATACAGTATTGTTGACAGACCCAACAAATCTAACATGAGCAGCAGCTGAGGACAGTGGAGAGGAAAGAAGTGATTAAACAGGTAGAAACCTGGAACAGAGCCGGGCTCACGGCAGCTGTCTGCTTAGATCCACATTTTTACTGACAGATGAAAACAAACTGTGAGATCCAGTCAGAACAGCTGATCTGTCCTCTTTATTCTTTAATGTTCTCTTGTATTTTTAGGCAACTGTCTACGATGCCTGTTTCCTTCTCTGCCTCTCAAAAACATGTCTATGGCATGTTTCTCTTTTCTTTTTTTGTTAGACATTGTTCAGAAAGACTGTGAACTGTGACAACATGTAATATTAAAATATTGATCAGTCTATTTCAACCATAAAGAGGAGGAACAGACTAAACCGATTTTTGTCTTCTGTATGATGAACAAAGTTTTTTTTTCTTTATCTCTAATGCCAACTATTGTTTAAATGTATGTTCAGTTTATTCATGCACCCAAATGATTCATTATTATTTACTAAATATGAATTTAAATTAAGCAGCTACAGACCATAAATATTGAATATAATAGAAAATTAATATTGGAAGATACTGTAAATCATTACTAGAGACACAACACTGAGGTTATAGACACAACACTGAGGTTATAGAGACACAACACTGAGGTCATAGAGACTCAACACTGAGGTTATAGACACAACACCGAGGTTATAGAGATACAACACTGAGGTTATAGACACAACACTGAGGTTATAGAGACACAACACTGAGGTTATAGACACAACACTGAGGTTATAGAGATACAACACTGAGGTTATAGACACAACACTGAGGTTATAGAGACACAACACTGAGGTTATAGAGACACAACACTGAGTTCATAGAGACTCAACACTGAAGTTATAGACACAATACTGAGGTCATAGACACAACACTGAGGTTATAGAGACACAACACTGATGTCATAGAGACTCAAGACTGAGGTTATAGAGACACAACACTGAGGTTATAGAGACTCAACACTGAGGTTATACAGACACAACACTAAGGTCATAGAGACTCAACACTGAGGTTATAGACACAACACTGAGGTAATAGAGACACAACACTGAGGTCATAGAGACTCAACACTGAGGTTATAGAGACAAGACAGGTTATAGAGACTCAACACTGAGGTTATAGAGACAAGACTGAGGTTATAGAGACACAAAACTGAGGTTATAGAGACTCAACACTGAGGTTAAAAAGACCTCTTTTTCTCAATCGCTTTGATGCAATTCACTCATCTGAAGCCTAAGCCTATGGAAGACAGAGGATCTTTAGATGTAGAACATGGTTTTTCCAAAGATTTACTATAATGAAAAAAATACAAATACTTGATTTTTATATTTTTTGATTAATTTTGCAACAGATTTGTGGCACTTTGTATATTGTGTGTGTGATTTTTGTATTTGTGTGAAGAGTTTTTAAAAAAAAATGAGACCTGGTTTAGAACACATGGGAAGGCAGTGTCTATGTGTGTGTGTGTGTGTGTGTGTGTGTTAGGGTTAGTCTTGCCCTTTCATACATATTAGAAGAAAGTTTAAAGTGATTTGATTGAAAACACTGATCCTGCAGGACAGTATCACAGTGAGAGAGAGGTCTGTGATTCTATCTAATGAAGGTACAAATTGTTTTCATGAGAAATGCATCAACACAGTGAGAACACGTCTCTTTCTAAAGAAGAACTGCATCAAAGCGATTGCGAAAATCTGTAAAAGCTGAAGAAATCCACTGAAATTAAAAGTTAATGTCCACCTGTTCCCACTTGGTTTTGCATTTGAACTCATGTCAGGTGACAGTAACAGTGGAACAGTGAGGTGATGTCTTACTTTTGAAGGCTTTGGGTGATGTTTCAGCGGAGCTGGGTGTCTTTGGGATCAGCATGCGCTTTCCAAACACCTGGACATCAAAGCTTGCATAGTCAAAAGACACCTTGGAGTATTTCTCCAGCTCCTTGGCCAGGTTAGCTCGCGGCGTGGTGGTCACCGTGTTGGGCCGGTAGCTGCCATACTGAGGGATCTCCAGCTGTTTCACAAAACACATGGGCCTGGAGGAAAGGTCATGAGTCATGTTTAACCCTTGCACTGAAACGGGCACAGCTGAATGTACTTAAAACAAAAAGAGAAGCACGTCTGACCTGAGCACTCTGTCAGAGTTGGAGGATGGTTCACTGGCTGAGGCCTGTAAGTGAACCTGCTTGTCCTGGTTCTTGTTGAGTTTAGCAGCTGCTGCTATGGGGCAGCCAGACAGACTGACAGGGGGATACAGCCAGAAGAAGAAGTCAACATTTAGACTTTAGACAGGAGTTTGTTTATTGATTAGTCTTCTTCAGACGGTGTGAGTATGTGTTAGTATGATTAGATGAGACTGGTTATTCTTTTATATTTGTTTCTGATCATTTCCATAATCTATACAGCTGTGTGTATATGTGTGCATGTGTGTGTGTGTGTGTGTGTGTGTGTGTGTGTGTGTGTGTGTGTGCGTGCGTGTGTATTGACCTGCGGTGTGTGTTGCGGTTGCTGTTGACGTGACCTTGGCCTGTGCATCCAGGAGTCGGACACTTCAGGACGTTCTCATGCATGGCCAGGACTACAGACACACAGCAGACACAGACTCAGGTCAGTGTGTTTAGATCACTGATGGGTTCACATCACTGACAGTGGTATGAAAACAGTAGCTGAAAAAGCAGTAATGGTAATGACAGCAGAACTATTAGTTGTATGACAGAAGGGGTTAGAACTGGTAGTAAAAATAGAAACTAGATCTAATCAGATCTTCACTTTCCAAGCTGTTTAACATCTCAATTAAACCGGTCTATGTTACATAGAGAGTTGAGTAACCACCACAGTGACAGAACCTGCTTCAGGAGAGTCCATTGGTCTACAGGTGGTCTACAGGTGGTCTACGTGTTGTTAAGGATAAGGTGAACTCACTCTCTGGAGGGATTCGGTCTTTGTGAGGACATCCAGACAGACTGCGATGGTGAGGGTACAGCCCAGTCACATGACCTGTCCCATCACACCCTGGGGTAGGACACTTCACTTCCTTCTTCTCTGAATAGAGGAGGGTGTGGTTTCGATGGCAGAGAGAATAAATGAAGCACATCATTAATTAGAACAAGGACCTGATCATCAGGCCCAGAATGACCACGCAGTTGTGGATACTATAGATAATTATTAAATTATTATTTAATAAGTTCATACATCATTAAACGGCTCCTGGTTACACTTTGTGATTTGCCAAACATTAGGCATCTATTGATGATGTCATTAGATGCAGCTTTTTACATCTAAAATAACAAATTAATGATAAATAATAAAACAACAAATAACCACTAGAATCAGCTCCTCCTCTGCTTAGACTAGTTCCAGGTTACATCACTGTTTATTCAGAGTCGGAGAAAATATGAACCATTTGTGTGAAATCCTGTGATAATTGCTGTGAAGTCTTGAGTAATGGCTAAAAAATGGGTTTCTGAGGTCACACTGACCTTGACCTTTGACCACTAAAGTCACTCAGTTCATCCTTGAGTCCAAGTGAATGTTTATGCCATATTTGTTCATAATAATAAGTTCCTTCAAGGTGTTATGTGTGAGATATCGTGTCCACAAGAATGGGACAGATGTATGGATAGACGTACGGACAACCTGAAGACAACATGTCTCTGTCTCTGACTGTCGTGGAGGAATAAAAAGGTAACTCTCTGAACTAGAATGTGATCACTGCCTGTAACAGAGAGTTCATGTGTCCAGAGGACACATGAGGACATCTACTGTCAGATGTGTCCATCTCTCTGGTATTGAACTCATGCTCGTCTCAATACTTGCAACAACATCTATAATATCTGTAGTATTGATACTTCAGGTATCACTGACTCCACCCTCAAATAGTACCAGTAGTCACATGACCAGCAAATGGGTGCCTGTGACAGGGCAGGCAGACTTTAGCTTACATTCATAATGAGGACATTTTGATTGAAGTATGTTTAGACTTATAAATAAAAAGATTCAACATGCTGTTCCTGCAGCGTAGAGAGTCACTGTCCAGTGAAGATGGAAGATGAATCAACATTGTCATCAGTGAATTAAACCTTTTCTCCAGAGCTTCAGACTTAGACTCTAAATGTTTAGATATTTTAATAAAAACGTGACTGACTTTAAAAAAACAGAACCTTTGAAAATACAGAGTAAAAATGTTCAGACACAAACTGAACTACAGTTACAACAGTAACATGTTGGAAAAATACCTATGTTCTGTTCCAACATTGCACTAGTGTTTACTGTACTGTGAACATGTTAACGTCTCAGCAGATCACTGTCCTGTCACTTTACAACACTGTATAGAAATGTATATACAAGCTTATGAAAGACAGAGGATCTTTAGATTTAGAACATGGTTTTTCCAAAGATTTACTATAATGAAAAAAGTGTTTGGCATTTGATGCAAATACTTGAGTTTTAGATTTTTGTTTCATTTTGCAGCAGATTTGTGGCACAGTTGTAAAAAACAGAATATAACTTCTGTAACTGAGTAACTGAGGATAGAAAAATGGTGAACATGGAACTTTGCATTGGAAAATAGACAAAGGAAAATATGCTATCAAACTTAGATGTATGGGACATATATATGGGACATACATACGCTGCATGACGTCTCCATAGACATGGCCCAGCATGGCTGGTGCTAGTGGTACAGACGGTGCAGATGCATCTACTACTGCTGAAGCCAGTTTTTTTGAGCATTTGAAGCAATTTTAGGAACAAACAAGTGAAGACTCAGATGGATTATATTTATACACGAGTTTTAAATGTCTGAGATTTTTCAGTGGTGTACAATAATTCATTTAGTTTGGGAGTGGCAGTGATTTGGGGCTGGTAATGGATGGGTAGAAGAAGGTTCTACTGAAAAAGGATGGCAGTCTATTTATATAAAAAAAAGGGAACAAATGAACACAAACAAGTTCATTTTTGGAACTGTGAACTTAGTTCAAAATTTTAAAAAATGAACTATGAATGTGAACTAGTTCATTTTCATCCGTATGAACTAAACTTTAAACTAATTCTTTTTAAGTGTGAACTGGCACAACACTGCACACATATATCTATATATATAGATACATATATCTTTGTGTGTGTGTGTGTGTGTGTGTGTGTGTGTGACTGGCGTTGCTCTTTCAGACATTTAAGAAAGTTATTTGATTGGAAACACTGATGCTGCAGGACAGTATCACAGTGAGAGAGAGGTCTGTGATTCTATCTAATGAAGGTACAAATTGTTTTCATGAGAAATGCATCAACACAGTGAGAACACGTCTTCAGTAGTGAACTATGTGTGGATACAAACACAATGAGAAATGCTGATGAACTGTTCTGAGAGCTGCATTAAGAGAGTTGAGGATGATGTTTGTGAAGAGAGAACTTCATCAAAGTGATTCAGAAAAATTGTTAGAGTGGACTTATCATCCAACTTAAACAGCTAGATGTTGGTGATGAATATAATGTTTTAAGCTGATATATGTTATAACCAGACACAGGGCTCAGTGTTAGCTGTGATGAACAGGCTCCAGTCCTGGACTACACAGTGTAAGGACGAGGACCTGGTGTCTGTTGGCTGCAGAGACATGTACGTACCTTTGCTGTAGTGGGGGGTGCGGCGGGACACAGCAGCAGGCTCACAGCTCTTGCTGGAGGAGCCGTATGGTTGGTACTCTGGGGAGCTGCGGACCTCCTGACCCCCCTTCACCTCCTCCGCCTTCAGGGCAATGGCCTGCTCCAGCAACCCCAGGTTCCCTCGGGTCATGTCCCAGTTCTCTGAGTCGTCTGTGATTCCTGAGCCCTCTGAGACACGGTCCTGCTCCTCTCCTTCCTCCTCCTCCTCCTCCTCCTCCTCTTCCTCCTCCTCATCCTCCTCCTGATCCTCGTCATCATCCTCCTCAGAATGGACTTCTATAACCACTGTGGTAGGAGAGGCTTGATCCTCCTCTTCCTCTTCCACTACCTCACCTGCTTCCTTACCCTGCCTCTCGTCCCCCTCTTCCTCTCTCTCCTCCTGCTCTTCATCCTCTTCCTCAGTCATGGGGGTGCTGACCTTTTCTTCCCTGAGTGACACCTCGGCTTCTGATCCCTGAGTGCGTGGACTCAAAGTGTAAGGAGTGTCAACCTCGTGGTGGACCTCCCTCTCTTCTCCCTCATTTTCCTCCTCCCCTTCTTCCTCTTCCTCGTCCTCCTCCCCCTCCTCCTCCTGCTCTTGTTCCACCCTCTTTCTCTGCTCCTCTTTGGCCTGATGGTGGTAATCGCCACTGGAGTACTGGTGGTCAGAGTTTTCTTGGCCGATCATCTGTCTTTCCACCTCCCTCTCCTCTACAGGATTCTCTTGTCTTTCTTGCTGCTTTTCCTTTTCCTTGTCTTCCTCCTCTTCTTCCTCTTCCTCCTCTTCTTTTGACTCTTTCAGCTCTGTGACCCCCTTGTCTTCTTCAGGTTTGTCTAATTGTTGGTCCTGTGTCTCCAACTGACCTTCCTCTTCCCCCTGAGTCTCTGTTTCCTCCTGCTGATGATGGTCGGAGAGCATTTCCACCTTCACTTCCTCAGCAGTTTCCTCATGTTCAGTTTGGTTCTTGTTGTCTTCAGCTGAAGGACGAGCTGCTGTCTCTGCCGTGTCCTTGTCCTCTGTTGTCTCTGGTGAGCAGTCTGCTGTGGAGTCAAAGTAGAAAAGATATAGCTTATAACTCTGGAAATGGTGACTGACATATAGTGACCTTATCTGACTGATGATGACGCAGTAATGGAGTGAGCCTGTGTCTGCTTGCTTCACTCAGGTTACAACCTCCTCCCTGTAACATAGATCCACACCACCCTTTTCTAAGATGGTGAAGTTCTCACACCGTCAGTCAGACCCTCACTGTCCAGACACATTTACATTTGTACAATACTGTTGATGACTCCCATCAGCCTCAGCTGTGCTGTGTAGTGCTAACTGGCTATGGTTAGCATGATAAATCACTAAACTGTTAATATAATACTGTAATAACACGCTAATCTGTCTATGGTGACCAAGGTAAACATGAGCATGTTGACACTGTCATTGTTAGCATGTTAACATGCTGATTTTAGCATTTAGTTCACAGCAGCATTAAGAGCAGATAGCATTGCTGTGAGTCAGTCCATGAAAATAATAAACATTGTTTAATTTTCACCCTCAGCTGACGGCCTCAGAAAAACACGGTTCTACCTTTCTCTGACATTTCTATAATGTCTGCTTTTTTTGTGAATAATTAGATTCACTACTGTCCCATCTTTCTTTCTTTCTTTCTTTCTTTCTTTCTTTCTTTCTTTCTTTCTTTCTTTCTTTCTTTCTTTTTCATAATTGAGGTTTTACTTTTGTTACCTCTCCTGTGGTTTCAGATCCCACTCCCTGATCTCCCTGATCATCTCCTCCAGTGTTAGTATTCCTGCTTTACTGTTCTTTAGCCTTTAACCTCTGACCTTTACCTCTGCCTCGACCTTAAGGACTTGTTTTATCTGGTCTCTACACTGGAGCTGTACTGTTCTGGTTTTGTTTCACTCACTTTGTATTGACTCTGGTCTGCTTTTTGTTTTGTTTTTCTTCTTCTCTTTAAGGTCTTCCTCTTCCTCCTCTTCCTCCTCTTTCTGCTCCTCATCCTCCTCTGCTGCATCACTGTCTGCGGTAAAGCCATCATCGGTTGCCTGTTTGACGGGCTGGTTCCTCCTTTTGGGAGCAGACTGGTTCTCCTCGGCCTCGGCCTCAGCCTCGGCCTCCTCCAGCTTCCTCTTCTTCACAATAGGACATCCTAGGACACTGAGGAGAGGAGGGTGGGTGTGTACGTTAATACTAACATCCAACATGCTAACATAAAACAGCACCACTGATAGTGTGTGTTTGTCATTGTTACACTGTGAGGTGTAACAGATAACAGACAGCAGCACTGTACACAGTCTGACCTGGTCTGAACCAACCTTCATAGAAACCTCCATGTGCTTCAGCTAATAACACAAAGTTTTCTTTATTGAACACAGCCATTAAACATTAACAGAGATGTGAACGAGCTCCAGTGATTCATTTAAACCTTCAGCTGTGACCCTAATCTTCATCTGTGTTGAGCTGCTGCAGTCTCAGCTGGACATCACTTCAGTGAATCATCTGACCGCTCCTGACTCCAGGTCTGATACCTCCTGACTCCAGGTCTGATACTTCCTGACTCCAGGTCTGATACCTCTTGACTCCAGGTCTAGTACCTCCTGACTCCAGGTCTGATACCTCTTGACTCCAGGTCTGATACCTCTTGACTCCAGGTCTAGTACCTCCTGACTCCAGGTCTGATACCTCTTGACTCCAGGTCTGATACCTCTTGACTCCAGGTCTAGTACCTCCTGACTCCAGACCTGATACCTCCTGACTCCAGGTCTGGTACCTCCTGACTCCAAGTCTGATACCTCCTGACTACAGGTCTGATACCTCCTGACTCCAGGTCTGGTACCTCCTGACTCCAGGTCTGATACCTCCTGACTCCAGGTCTAATACCTCCTGACTACAGGTCTGATAGCTCTTGATTCCAGGTCTAGTACCTCCTGACTCCAGACCTGATACCTCCTGACTCCAGGTCTGGTACCTCCTGACTACAGGTCTGATACCTCCTGACTCCAGGTCTGATACCTCCTGACTACAGGTCTGATACCTCCTGACTCCAGGTCTGATACCTCCTGACTACAGGTCTGATACCTCCTGACTACAGGTCTGATACCTCTTGGCTCCAGGTCTTATACTTCTTGACTCCAGGTTTGGTACCTCCTGACTCCAGTGGCTTCTGTTGATGAGGGTTCACAGTCTGAGAATGTTTGAATCATGTTTTCAATATGGCCGAAAACAACACAATGATTTGTGTTATTAAATCAAAAAGATTGTATTTCTTCTTTATTGTAACTCAGATGAAGATAAGTCTTCACATTATTTTTCTAACATTTTCAGACACATTAAAAAATAATGAATTCAACAAAGACACAGTGGAGTTATGGTGCAACTGTGGGTGAATGTGAATGTGCAGTTAGACTATTCTATCATTAAGGTCAAAATACTGGTTTCACTGAAATTCTGATTGTTGTTGAACTGGACAACATCCAATAATTTACTTATCTCACATATATCCACATATGAAGAATTATAATGACAGTATTATAACATGAAGTGTGTTTATATTGTATTCATCCTCAGGTCACAGGGTCACTGAGGGTCTGATGAGAATGAAGATCATGCGACCTTCGCGGTCACCTGATCTCAGTCCAGGTGAACTATGGCAGTTGGAACGACATGTTAGACAGAGCTCTCCTCCACCATCATCTAAACACCACATGAGGGAACATGTTTATGAAGAAAGGTTCATCCTCGAGTAGAGTTGAAGCTGGATACTCTTGGTGGAACAACACCTGACTGAGACACTTGATGTTGGTGTCTCCTTTAATTTGTCACTGTATGTTGGCTACATATTTTCATGTCCTCATTTACTATCATTATACTACACGGCCAAAAACACGTTGACACATCTGTCCACATAAGACGTGAACTTTCAGTCTGTTTAGTTCCAGTGAAGGGAGGTGGGTATTAGCTCTAGCTTAGTGTGTAGGACATACTGTACAAGAGCTTGTGACGTCAGTCTGTGAAAGAACCTTTCAACAATCCAGTTGGTTTTGAATAAAAATAGAAAATATGAAAAATCAAACAGAAAGGTAAGTAAAACAAACTTAATAGGTAGGTAAAACAAACCTAAATCTGTGATTCATTTGCTGACATCTTATCTCAGTATGGGTGATAGCATGAAGCCATTGCTACGTGTTCATGCTAACAAGCTAACTAACTGTTGTACAGAGAGTTTGAATCCTACCTTCGGTGTCGTGAGTATCTTCCACTGACGTGGCCTTTGCCATCACATCCAGGGGTGGGACAGCTGCTACAGCTGCAGCAAGACAAACACACACTTCATACACACAACACCTTCTGTATACACACTGACAGTCTTCAGCTGAGGCATCAGATCACCTACCTCAAGTCCTGCTTCATCTCTTGTCCCACAGGCTCCGACACTGAGAGTGAAGAAGCAGGAGAATCATTAAATACAAAAATAAAAGTCAGAACTATCAGTGTAAAAGAGCAATGATGCTTTTATTTTGTAGGAAAAATATTTACTCATTGCACATTTAGATAAATGAAACATAAACATCCTGTTCTTGTAACATGGTTAACATGGTAACCAACCACACTCTGTGTGTGTGTGTGTGTGTGTGTGTGTGTGTGTGTGTGTGTGTGTGTGTGTGTGTGTGTGTGTGTGTGTGTGTATACTGACCCCGGATGCCTTTGGAGCGGGTTCGTGTTCGTGTCTCTGTAACGTCTTGGCTCATCTGAATAAACAGAGAGACATTAGATAGATAGATGGATGGATGGATGGATATATATATATATATATATATATATATGTATAGATAGATAGATAGATAGATAGATAGATAGATAGATAGATAGATAGATAGATAGATAGATAGAAGATAGATAACTACTTTGATTTGATAGATACTTTGATATTTTGAGGCGTGTCCTCTCTGGTTGATTGGCTCTCTCTTGGTCCACTGCTGACTCAGTCTCTGACCTTTGAACTCATTTTCTGTTGGATGAAACAAACACGTCACAGTCAGTAGAAAAAAAAGAACATTTACTGTTTCAGCTCACAACCACTCAGTCTGTTGTATAAGGTCTTCTACATTACAGTCTGGTGACGTACAGGAGCATGACAGATGTGGACATTTACCAGGCAGGGAGAGTCTAATGAAAAGGTTGGTTGCATTGTGGGAAATGAAGGATCCTGCATTTCTGAGGCTTGACTCATACTCTCTGTCTCTGTCTCTGCTGCTTCCATTTGACCGCTCTTACCCTGTTAGACCAACACACCTCCTGAGAAGAGGCAGCAGTAATTGTACTACAGAAATACGTGTCCAAAGACAGCAGGTATATTTGAGGGTGGAAGAGCGAACTAACAGCTGCACAGTATGATCCTGACAGACAGAAGGGAGGGAAGGGTTTTTTCTACTGGTCTAAGATTCCAATCCAGAATTTAAGACCATAATAAAAACATATAATTAAATATCATATAAACAATCCAAAACAATCATAGTTTTATTAGAAGATATTCAGCAATGATAATACAATGCATACAACATACACAACTTATATATACTGAATATATAATGTATTTGGAGGTTTCTCTGTGCTCCTGGAGGTATGATGACAGACTGACAGACTGTGGTCCTGATAGTTTGGGAACAGGGTCACAGGCCAAAGCAGGTGACTGTTTACCTGCTCCAGTCCACGGCCTCCGTCTAAATGTGTATTTACCACTACATTTGAGCAGGTAGAACAGTGAACACAAACCAACATGGAGTACTAAGGACGGAGTGACGGCTCCCCGCTGACAGCAGGATGTAGGCCGGCCTGTGAACCAGCGAGGCCTCCGTCCTATCTACACTGACATACACACACAAACAAGACGCCTCCGTCAACGCGCGGTCATCGGTTCATCTTTTCACTAACCTCACCGTGTCGACACCGGCCGCCATTGTAGGGGCCAGAAATAACGAGCCACAATAATAATCGGGTTAAAGCCTGACACATTTGACCGATCTGAAACGATCCTCCACGAAGGCAAACCCTACAGAAAGCGCACTTACTCCGCGACGAGCGAAGTGAAATAGCGCCTCGTCCCGTGCCGCCTGCCCGGTGTAGACCACCGTAAGGCCTGCAGCCGGGCCGAGGACAACACCGACAGGAGAAAGCGCTTCGTGCTCTTTGTCAGACACATAAAGCCTTACCTTAATGCCATCCCCTCCCCCTCCGTTCAGACAGCGCCGGCTCAAACACACGTTCACTGGAACAAACCACGATGACTACAACCACAATCCACCTCCGGACCCACAGCAGAGGGTCTGCAGCGGTGTCACGGCGGCGTCAGACTGAGCTCAGCACCCCTGAGCCGTTCAGCACCTCGGACAGGGCCGGACGAATCTTCAGCACCATGGACAGAAGCCCCGCTGCACTGCCTCCTGCAGGAGCTCAGGAGAGCTGCAGGCCGCCGTGGCTCACGGAGGGCAAGACCGCCAAACAGCTGGAGGACGGGGCCTGGAGGAGGAAGACTGAGCCAGTCCTGAGCCCAGTCCTGATGTAAACCACCCAGAAACTTTAAACCAGCAGAGGAGGCTGTAGTTACTCACAGCAGCAGGTTGTAGTGGTGGTGGTGTTTCACGTTACTATAGCAGCTGGAGCCAAACTAAATTATCCAACTGTTTACATCATTGGAATCTTCATCTCTGGAACAAACTCTGCACTGCAGAGCAGCCACCAGACAGCACCTTTGTTCCTGTGTCCCAGACTGGTCAAACAAACAAACAAATAAACAAGCAAAAATCTAAAAAAAAAATGGGATTCAGCTCAATCAGA